AAGCGATCCACCTCAATGCTTGCGTGCTGACGACAGCTCTTAAGGAACTTGACAACTATTACGTTAGAAGTGATGCTCAAGTACACCGGCCGCCTGGCGCACGGTGAACCTTCCAAAGCAGTGTTCACAGCGCTTGCTGACTTAGGCGCTGGTACCACGACCGAAGTTGTAGTCAAGTTTGCGCACAGGTACTCAGTCAAGGGACATAACACTATGGGCATGAGCTAATTTCAGATCACCTGAAATGTCCTGGTCAAGCCATCAAAACTGTTTCATTTTTGAAGACTTAATCAGGGCTTTCTGGTGTTTCAAAATGATAGATTTGCTACCACTTTTGTAGCCATTTGCAGTGCAGGAAAATGATAAATTTTGTGTGGCCTGAAATGAACCTGAAATGACTCAATATGGCTACATTTCAGTATGGCAAAGAGTTCATGTTTCAGGAGACTTTGTGGTGCATTTCAGGACATTTGAAAGAACATATGTAGAAATCATTCCTGCCTCATGTTTGCAATGAGGAAAGGTCCAGGCAAGGAAAACTTTTGATGGTCCTGAAATTGCCATTTCTGATGGATTTTGAAGCTATTTTATGAGCTAGAAGATTTTTACTTGAGATAAGTCAGAGACATCCTAGAAATGTACTACAAATTTTCCATAAATGGTAATTTTAGAACTATCAAAAGTTTTCCTTGCCTGGACCTTTCCTCATTGCAAACATGAGGCAGGAATGGTTTCTACATATGTTCTTTCAAATGTCCTGAAATGCACCACAAAGTCTCCTGAAACATGAACTCTTTGCCATACTGAAATGTAGCCATATTGAGTCATTTCAGGTTCATTTCAGGCCACACAAAATTTATCATTTTCCTGCACTGCAAATGGCTACAAAAGTGGTAGCAAATCTATCATTTTGAGACACCAGAAAGCCCCAGTTAAGTCTTCAAAAATGAAACAGTTTTGATGGCTTGACCAGGACATTTCAGATGATCTGAAATCAGCTCATGCCCATAGTGTAAACTCCTTGCCAGCGCCAACCCGCTGCTCGCGCCAAGGCTGTGGTTTTGCGATAAGGTCTATAGCCTCAGCATGATGTACATCGTCATGATGGACTTTATTTGTCATTGCAATTGTCTGCTGTCAAATGCCAATCACAAGTGTCTGCGCGAAGCGAAGCAAATGCTCCATAACAATGGTCTCGTGTTTGGGGACCTCCACAAACCGGACGCGCTACGACATCCCAATGGTGGAGGGATGCTCATTGGCTTTGACTAGTGCAGCACGACCGGCAAGGCAAAATATCCAGGTGACATCATTGTCGACAAAAAGATGCCGTGGCATAAAGATGTATGGCGCTGGGATCTGATTACCAAGGCACATGACATACATCTCCTCAAGGGGCTTGTTAGCATGTCTGAGTAGCACACGGCACACCTGCCAAGTGATGTCGCCCACATCTGATATCAATCGCGTTTGAAACTGACGGTATGTGTACTTAAGTCGTGCTGGTCTCAGTCTGTATTTTCTCAATGCATGTGATGATGACGCATGACCACGAGCAGTTAAAAACACTCTGGCACAGACCAATGAATGGATGAAGCTATTGCTTGGCTTAGACCGCTGGCCTGCTTGGTCTTACAACCAGTACAATCTTTCAATAAAGAAACCATACTACTAAATCATTTGATGTAACCTCTGTAAGTTGCCACAATGTAAGCAGAACCATGCTCAATCATCTTGTGGGACCTTTCATCGTGCTTGTTACCACTCATCTACAGTATGTGGCCGATCCTTGCCGCAGATATGCCCCTTACCAGAGTAGAAGAGACCATCTCCGCCCCAGAAAGTCGTGCCTACAAACAAGCTAGTAAACCAGCGAGATATACTGCCTTTTTCAGCGTGCACGCCAGTGAACACTGGGTACTCCTCCTGAAGATGGTACGTTGTTGATAAATGAGATATCCCTTCCGCGTGTTGAATATCCCTTTATTCCAAAACAAGGAGGTCCCGCCAGAAAGCTACCACAAGCGTGAGGAGGCACCGCCACACCTGAGGGTGTGTTTTGAGTTGGAGAGCGACGCATATGTGCATTTGCAGCATAATAGCATGTGCGAGGCAGGCACAGTGCCGAAGCTATATGGCTTGCTTGAACTGTCAGTCCAGGACATGGATACCTTCGCTGCGCTGCTCGGGAACTAAAGACTCTTCCTTGTGTCACCCAAGAGCTCCAGAAAGAGTATAAGGGCCCACCATTGTATAATGGTTTAAGTTCAGCTATACAGTGATGACCTAAAGTATTGCAACAGACTACAGAGAGGTGCTAAGCCTCCTCAATATCTCCACGAATATTACAGATGGCTGGACACATTGTATATGGTTAATAAACTGGACAACTAGCTGTATTTTCTCAAGGTATCGCCTTGTAGCAGAAGATGTATGCCGGAAGAGTATATCAAAAATAGTTGAAAATATGCATATTTATCATATAATTTGTAGTATAATACAGACTGTAGAATAAAATTGACTCTGCACATACCAAAATGGAGCTATTTATATATTATGTGTACAAATATAATGATGTGATTAGGCATCCATTTGAATGAACTGTAGAGCATATCACATTCATTGCAACATGCAACAGTGTATACTCATATGCTTCAAACATAATCAGGTGCTGAAGTTCTTATATTTTGCTACTATCTCTCTCTCCTAGTAAAGTACACACTGTAAACAGATTTTGGGGAACTTTCCTCTCCACATTGTGGAGTTAGATATGTGCAAACTGCTACAAAAGAAACAAGCCAATGTGATATGCCCTACAGTTCATTCAGATGGATATCTCCTCACATCATTATATTTGTAAACATACTATACAACTAGCTCCATTTTAATATGTGCAGGTTCAATTTTATTCTACTGTCTGTATTCTACTACAAATTATATGATAAATATGCATATTTTCAACTATTTTTGATCTACTCTTCCAGCATACATCTTCTGCTACAAGGTGATACCTTGAGAAAATACAGCTAGTTGTCCAGTTTCTAAACCATATAAAATGCGTCCAGCCATCTGTAATATTTGCGGAGATATTGAGGAATTTTAACACCCCTCTGTAGTCTGTTGCAATACTTTAGGTCATCACTGTATAGCCGCGCCAGCGACTTTCTGATTATACCATATATACTGAGCCTCTCCAGTGGAGAGTCAGTTTCTATACATGTCCTCTGGAAGGCAGGCACATATTTGTGCGCAAGGTGGTATATATATATATCGACCAGATGAACTTATAGTCATCACGATGTAACGCAGACTTAGCTATAGAACGTTCGTCTGGCATATTCGTTACATCACCTTGGCGTCCAACCATCTCTCACGAGTCCATTATTTCAAGTCTCCTGCAATGTACGTAGAGTCTGATCTAGCAAATTTCGTGCGCCCGACCAGTTTGTAGAAGCGTCCGATCTTGAGTCAGTCTCTGCATAGTATACGGGTAGCAGCAGACTGAGCATGCAGCATTGGCGAAGGGCAATGTAAGTGATCAGTACAGCCAATGGGTAAAACCGATCCGTTTGTCGGGCAACTATAGTATAGGTCAACAAATGTGATATATCGTCTGCAACCACACGCTCACGCACCAATTCGTCGTAGAAGTGAGTCCAGGCTCGAGCAAGCTCGTCAAACAGATCTTGCCTGCGAACGGGTGTGTCACCGCTTGATCGCCACACTGCCCAGGATGCATCAAAGTCGACCCATACGACGCGGCCCTCGGGAAGAACCAAGGTGTTGCGTCCGTACACGTCACTGTGCACTATGTACGACGCATGGACGTGGTACAGTGCCCTCAACGCTGCATCTGCCACTGCCAGCGTGATGGTCTGTGTGCTCAGCCGCTGGGCGCCCTCGAAGAACTCGATGAGAAGTGCCTTTGGTGGCTTCTCGTCGTCCTTGAGGTGCTGCCACCGTACGTCGATCCCGGGCAGCGCAGCGATGGCATCCATGTCCTGCACTGACAGCTCAAGCCAGCCATAACACTTCGGCACCGCACCCGCCTCGCACGCGCCGTAGTGCTGCAGATGCGCGTACGCGTCGCTCTCCCGTTCGAAACGCTTCATCGGATGTGGCGGCGCTTCCTCGCGCTTGCGATAGTTCTCGAGCGAGACCTCCTTGTTGCGGAACTGGGGAGTATTCAGTACGCAGAGTGGCCATCTTAGTCATTGGCAACGCACCATCTTCAGTAGGAGCACCCGTTCTCCGACGCGTATCTTGAACAATGCTGTGCTTCCCTTCGGATTGATTTGCTCCAGGAACACCAGCTCGTCCTTAAGCACGGCTTTCTGGAGCGGAGGTGGCCGCTCATACTTGGTGAGCGGCATATCTGCAAGGATCAGTCGCATGTCTACGACATGCACGGGGCACGTCCCATAAGTTCCTGCAAGAGGATTGAGTGCGGTCTTGCTCGCCACATCGCAAGCGGCGGCCCTGAATTCTGGAGTATCGCCTGAATCGTCGGGAGGGTATGGTGTGAGGTTATACGGCGGGGGGGTCTAGCAAGAACGGGTTCTCCTCTGGGTAGCACTCGAGCAGGGACGAAGATATGTTCAAGCTGGTCATCGCTCAGACTCGTCAGCAGCAGTGGTTGCAGCTCGAGTTGAAAGCCATCAATCGAGCTTGGCGCCTTAATAAGTTCCTGTAAGCGCTTTTTGCACACTGAAGATTGTCATGATAGTACCGCGCAATGTGCCACTGTCCTGAAAATTCATTGTCTCTATCGTACGCACAGGTGTACGTTGGTTGCACATATGCGCTCAATACTCGGCCATTGTGTACCATGGGCTGTAACATACTGTACATTACACAGACTTCAGTTACAGGAAAATAACAGACGCGAGGTTGGTCACATAGTAGGGGCATTACGAAGTAATAAATACGCCCTTTACTCAAGTGGGTTATAGGTTGTCCGTCGTACCAGGATACCCATCCTTACAAGATAAACTGCAAGCGTGTATCCTGCGTGCCTGGTCAGCACTGCCCTCCCAATCAAGTCATAGGACAACTCACGATCTTGTGCGAGCTCGACAGCTGCGGCTTCTGATTGTACTTGTTTTTGAGGACCTTGCGGACAGAGATGAGGAGTTCCTGGTACGTCTGGTTCGGGTTCTCGCGGAACGACTCCATGAAGGCCTGTGTGCGTTGCGTGGAGTCATTTCAGTAAGGGCGCAATCGTAGTGTGGCGAAGGGGGGGGCAGAAAGAGGCAACGGGAGGGGCAGATGAGAAATATGGGGAATGAACGTACGTAGGACATTGCGCCCGCAGCAGCGCCGCCCTCCCACGTGTCGGCACTCGACTGCGAGTCTGTGCAGCCGCTGAAAGAGATCTGCGCGCCCGGACATCGACATTACCGCACATGGAGCGGAGCGAAAACATGTTAGTCAGTGCGGGGGGGGGGGGGGTAACAGAAGCGGGACGTACGACGTCGGCACTAGACATCTTCGCGGTCTCATGCTTACGCGCGATAGCTGAGCCCTTGAGGCGTCCGTTGCTGTGGTACTGCGCGAAACAGGTCAGCCGGAGAACTGGACGCGAGGCACAGAGACGTACAATGAAGGGCAGGTCTGTCGTTGCACGGTGAGCGTAAGCTGAGGCGCGAAAAGGAAGAGGGGCTTACCGAGTGCGGTGCCAGAGTGGCAGGACTACGGGTCTATGGTTAGAGGACATGGGGCGGAGGGGGGAGGGACATACGTCAAACAGGGCCTGGAACGAGGTTGGTCAAAAGGTATGCAAAGAGAAATTGTAGTTTTTTTACCGTCAGACGACAGCCGGTAGGCAGCGGCTTGACCTGTGTACTGTCAGCGTGGATACCTGTTCCGTTAGCGGAATGCTTACCATAATTTCATTCATGAGCTAGGCTATGTCAGCATTCAAATAGCGTACACGATTAACATGACATACATCATCGACAATGATCCCAGACTTGCGGAAATCAACAGGCAGAATGACTACGCATAACAGCTCATCATCAGCCTCCGTAACACCACGAAGGTAAGGGACGTACATACCTTCGTCATACCCATCAAGTTCATCTCCATCGCGGTCTTTGACCTGCGAGCCGTGTCCCGAGTCTGCCATGGCCACAAACACAAGCATTCAGCCGCGCTCGGACAATATCGGAAGGAAGCAGGCAGAACATACAGTGGAAGAAGAGCGAATCGTGCTTGTGCGCACTCCGCACGAGCCACTTCATCCCGTCGATCATGTTCTGACGCGTTGGAAGTTGGCGCGGGTTCGTGGCGTCGTCGGTGAGGAGGACAATGTCCTCTGCCTTATACCCGCAATGGCCTGTAAAATTGCAAGCATCAGCCGTGCCAGTTCAGCGTCTATGTGCAGGGGCGTACGGATGAGGAAGCTCCGGACATTCTTTGCGTCGTTGACGCACCCACTGAGCTGTTCTTCCATGCCGATGTAGTTGACGCCGACCTACAAGCGGTGTCAGCGCCAAGCGAGAACAGAGAGCAGGGGCGCATACACAGAGCGCTTTCTTGCGGCCCGTGCACTTGGAGTACTCAAAGTGCGGCGAGGGCATCTCGACGGGCGCGTCTGTCCGGCACTGGTAAGATCCGACGTGTTGCCGCAGAGCTGAGTGATGGGACTTACGGTGCTGCTGTTGCGAAGAGACTGTAGAATATTATATTTAGGAGAGCCGCGTATACCTCGAGTGGTTTCTCAGCACTGACCATGGTGTTGGGGATGGCTCGCATGCTCGTGTCTGTGCGCTTGCGGCTGCTGAGCCACTAGGCAGAGTCAGCCAAAGCTCTGCATGCAAGTGATTGGCAACTTACCTTGCACCTGCGGCTGGTTCGGGTGATGTGAATGATGGTGCGTGTGGTGTACATGCCCGGAGTGCCCGTTACGAGAAGAGTACTCCACGTTGATCTCCACCGGAGACCGCGGCACGCCTCCGGGAGGGAACGAGCTCGGAGTAGGCTGTGGCATCCCATGCGAGCTCGTGCTACTAGATGTATGTGATGAGCCATGGGATGGCGTTTGTCGAATTAGCGGCATGAATGGGGTCGCGTCATCGTAATTTACACTGTGGGGGCGTAGAGATCAGCTCGAGCTAGACGAAGCGCGAGAGGGTGAGAACGAGCGCGGATACGCACGCAGGAGGGTATGGACTTTGTCTGATAACCGAGTGTAAGTAGCTTAATCAAGGGCTAAAGCTGATCCTAAGCTCACTGTGGCGGGTATCCAACCGAGCGCGGCCGCTGTTCGGGCTGCCCAGGGGTATAGGTATGGTCTCCAAAATCCCACATCATCTTGGGCAAGATACAATGGGGTAGTTGAGTGAAAGGTGCGGAGAGTGCGCAGGGCGGTCGGTGTCTCGGAGGCGGAGTCAGGATCGTGCGAGGGTCCGCGACCGTCCTAGGATGGAGGTCAGGCTGATATGGGTAGCTCTGGCGCCGTGACGGCCGCCGAGGGCGGATGTGACTGATGCTATACGACCGCGCGACGTCTCACGGGGCCAGCTTGACGGGAGTGGCAGCCATTCCTGGATGCGGCGGTAAACGGCGCCCAGAAACCGTGGAAGCCTGTATAGTTCCTAGTGCATAGCAGTTATATTGGTAAGTACTTCCTATTGATATCCCAACAGTCAATCCCTTAGCCAATGTACGCAAAAGATATTTGGGCCCTACGACGTCGAGGATGCCGCACGGGAGAAGCAAGCGTTCATCATGAGTGCATTGACAAGCCGTATCACCACGACCCCTTCGGCGCCTCGGCACGCGCGCCCTCCTGTCACGAGAACGGCGGGTCACATGTCACACCCCGCCGCGCTCTGCTCCGCCGCCTTTTGCACTGTCCCTGTTTCCATTCCCTCTGACCATGTCACACAGCTCTGCATCCAGCGATGATGAGGCGCCAGAGTCTTTCTCCTTTAACAAGTCCAAAAAGACGGTAGAGGGTGAGGCAAGGGCCTTGCAAAAGTTCTACGCCGACGAGAAGCAGAGACTGAAGGAGAAGAGGAGGCAGAAGGACAGGGCGCTGAAGGAGAGGAAGACACTGGCTAAGGGCAAAGGCAAAGCGAAGGAGATGGTGCTCAAAGAGGGGGACGAGGAGGATAATGAGGAGCCTGCGTCGCCTTCGAAGGAGGACCTGGAGGCGAGGATGGAGAGGGCCATGAGGGAGGCGCAGGAGGAGTTCGGCGAGGATGATGAGGGCGAGGGCGAGGACTTTGACATGAGCGGCCAGCAGAATGATGAAGACGAGGGTAGCGAACGGGACGATGAAAACGACGCCGAGTCAGAAGATGAAGACGACGAGCCAATACAGTCCGAGCCCATGAAAAAGAAGGATTACCTTCCTGAGCATCTGTTCGCATCCGCGTTCTCGCAGCTTTCTTCAGAAGACGAGCCGAAAGCGAAAGCAAGGTCTAAGAAACGAGCTGCTTCGCCACCGACGAAGCGGAAGCGCGTAAAGACCTCGACGAAGGAGATCGTTGTCGGGTGTGTAATTCTATATCTGAATACCAGTTTTGTTCCCATCTCATGCTGTGACTCGTAGGTCGCGCGTCGTCCGCACCTTGCCATCACTTGCGAACCACCCGTCAACGACGACGCCAAAAGGCTTCGCACCTCCGCGTGCCCTGAAGAAGTTCGTGGACCGCAGTCTCAACGTGCGCGGCAGGGCAAAAGACGCGAAGTTGCGTGGCTGGGAGCGGAGACCAGGTGCGTCTGTCGGCCGTGACCTGTTCTTTGTGTGCTGAACCTCCGCAAAGCGAACATAGGCGTCATGAAGCGCAATGGGCCTGCCGCACATTTCGTCCGGGACGACTAGTCTATTCATATCCCCTCCACTTCCTACTTGTCAGACACACCCGCTCCGTAATGTGCTTTTGATGTGAACGCCACGTCTTTGAACATGGGGATAACGCGAGTTTCAACTGCAGTGGCTTCTGTCTTGTCAGCGTTTCGCGCGAACCACGGGCCCAAACCTCGCGTATTGCGAAAAGCGAGGGTGCGTTTGTGCAAAGCTACCTACCATTTTAGCAGGCAGCATTTCCCTGGCATTATGCTTGGTGGTTGAGCACCCCATGTTGCAAATGAGTATGGGCCTCGGCCCAAAGGTCTACGTGAGCAATTCAGTGCAAAATTACGCGCCCTTTTGCACACAGTGGCCCGAGTCTTTGTGTCTCTAGAGTATACGAGCAGATGGCATGTAACTCGCATGTAAGGCATGACCGCGGCTAGCTCGGGCGCTTGTCACTTTCAGCGCCATTTGTCGCGTTCTCTCTAGATCTCCACTTTGTTTGCAAGTCCTCGTCGCAAACCATGCAGTCTTCGAAAGCTGCAGAAATCCCGGAAGAGCTCTTCGAGTACATACTACGACATGTGTGCGATCCCAACAAAAAAGTGCCCCTCGAGCGGTACGCAAAGCCGTACATCTCCGCCTGCGCTGCCGTTTGCCGATACTGGGCACGCTTGGCTCGACGAGAACTCTTTCGCTGCGTGACATTGCGCACTTTGGACGACGTCAATCGCTTTCGCGGCATCTTGGAAGTACCCACCCTCCCTAGTCTCGAGCCTGTCGCTGAGATGGTAGTTATTATCATTGCCACACTCAACTACACAGATGCCCCGTGGCTACATTTGGTCTCTCGGCTCATTCTAGCCAAGTTGGAGACGGAATATACGTTCAGCGTGAACGCGCTTCCTTCAAAAGGGCGTACATGGCGCACGCTCCATCCATCCTTGCCGCGCACACCTCCGGGCTCGATAGTCCCGGTCATGGAGCTCGACATAACGGGCGTGCACTTTCCCAACGGGCATGCTCTTGCTCGTCTTCTCTCGTCCTTACCGACCCTTCGCTATCTCAACGCTGATGACATTTCATTCGGCACTAACACGCAGCCGACCCCAAAAGATCTCTTCGTTCCGCCTTTCGGCCTAGAGCTGTACCACATCGCCACAAACCACCACGCGCTGTGCCTTGCATTCTTACCGCGGCTACTCGCGAACCGCGCTAGCGATGCAGAAGCACCACCGGCGAAGATTCATGCGGGTCGCACAGCAAAGTACATCCTGAATGACGACGATCTTGCCGCATTATGCGACCTTTTTGGCCTGTTCAAGGCTGGACCTAATTTCAGGATTGCCCATTTGTACAATGCGCCGTTGCCTAGGGTGCCAGACATGGATAGTACGCTCCTCGCATACTGTTTTCTGGTATGGCGCTCACGTATTGCCTAGTTCTCAATCTCAGCACTCACGAAAAAAATTCTGTCAAGGACTGGGGAAGACATATGGCCCCCGATATTAGAGTATATCTCAGTCCTGGTATGAACACACGCACCCTATCGCGGTCAAACACCGCCCAAGCACCAGCGCAATCAATACAACTATATGTACATACGGTATACATCGACCTTACGATGAAAATCGCCAACAGCGCGCGGGAGCTCTGCACAGAGTCACTCTGGACACGCTTCGCAGAGACCGCACTCAAGTTTGTGCACTTGCAGTGGGTTGAGATCTGGCGCGAATGGGACTCGCACGAAGATGATATCTCCGAGTCTTTGGGTATCACCGATGCGGCGTTCAACCCGCTCATGGAGGCGAGGAAGTTCCGAAGTCGGTTCGTTGACGATTTGTGGCCTACGGTAGTAGTGGCAGATACGGCTACACCAACATTCATAGAGTCTAGCTCGTCGGATGAAGAGTCTAGCAGTGAGGCATGACGTTGTGTGGCGGCTTACTCTAGTATCTCGCACTGTATATCTATGCTGGCCAATTTCTGCCAAACAGCTGCTTGTAGATGATACGGAAAGGGATCGAGTTCAAGTATCACATATAACATACAGTATACTGAGGACAAAAAGAGACACAACTTAGCACGGGCAAACGACGGCGCTTCCTGTTTGATCACCGTGACTGACTCACCATGGCTTGCCATCAAGGCCACTCACGTTCTCTTGCAACAACCACTTCCAATACCTACAACGCACATTCCTCGCGCATGACATGGATTCATCCAATATCTAAGCGTACAGTACTGTTCCCGACGTGAGCCATTACCCCGAATGCATCCCTTTCGCTATGGATGTACAACCTCATCCCAGCGCCTCTGGATAGCACGTTATATGATACTCCAGAGCTACTCGCAAATGTTCGCGCAGTCGCTGAAAGGATAAACACAAACCTGTTTTGCACTATGTATGGCACGAACCCTCTCAATATTGCCGACCCGAACTTTTACCTGACGTGGTATCCATGGGTTGACTCTACCGCGCCGCCACCGCTTCGACACTATCAGGGGATTTCCGCGTTCTCGAGCAATTGAATCCTAAGGGGAACTCACCCATATTTCTGGTTGAGCTCGATGACCAGACGATGCTACTCAAAGTGGTGTGTCTATTACGCGCTCGGCTTATGCGAACGCTAACGCTAATTCGATATTGTACACCAGTTTCCTGACCGAGATGCGCTTCAGGATGAAGATACCGACGATGACGACGACGATAACTGGGGCCGCGACACAAGTAAGCCAGATACGAGAGCCCTATTTCGGCGCGAATGCGAAGCGTATGCCCACCTGCTCCATTTCGGTATCTGCAAAAGAAGAATTGTCCCGAACTGCTACGGGCGAACCACACTTTCACCTGGTCACATCGGCAAGCTCGTGGCGCTTCCTGCTGCCTCCGACACAGTATGCGCCTTGCCGAACGAAGAGCTTCCGCCAAAGGGCATCCTCATCGAGTACTTCGCGAACGCGGAACGGCTCTCCCACCAGAACATCACGCCCGAGGTAGCGCAGGCTGCGCTGCGAGCCCTGAATGCTGTACATACCGGGAACGTCCTTCATGGTGACGTCCACCAGCGCAACATTCTGCTGTTGCCCGACAGACGAGTCGTGTGGATTGACTTTGACTGCTCGTGCTGTGTGAGTAGCCGCCGCTTGATGCGACAGGATCTTGTGAGAGAATTGAGAGACGCATGGTCGTACGTCTTGAACGACTGGTAAGGTTTGAAATTCCGGAACGTTGAGTCTGAGTCTGACTTCAGCCACAGTTACCAGATAAACGTATCGGATACGACCACACTTGAGACCTTGAGACCGCCGGGGGGGGATATACGCCACCGAGCCTAAGGAAATGAGACTGCTGACCCTGCCTGCGCACGACGCGGTCCGCCAGCCTTTCCCGCAGGACAACATGCGCTACTTGTGCGACACCAGCAGGGTGTTCTGCCTCCTGAGACTGCGGAAGACGTCTCGCTGGAGGACCTCGAAGCCGCCGCCGTGTAGAGCCACTCGAGCGGGTGCTCATTGGCAGGCCCGTCAGAGTGCGACTCGGAAGTTTCTATGTGGGGCTGGGACAGGTCCCTATGATGTATCGAAGACGATGTTCTAGTTCAGTGTAATCCACTGAGTTTTCTCCGAGTCCATGCCGGACGGCGCGTAACGTGCGAATTTTCAGGAGGCGATGTGTGTTTTTCGGCAACGCGTACAACAAAAGCATGCGCAGACACTTCACCGGGTTGAAGTTTTAGATTCATCCTCAGGTGGCGATTGAGTATATACGAATCTGAGGTCGATCGGGCTCTCTCCTACTAGGTAGGTGCGGATGATTCCTCCGTTGGAAACAAAATCTAATGGGACTAAAGGAAGTCACGGCAGGGCGAGCTTCCAACCTTGACCGGAGAAGTGTGCGATATCATGCGTGGCTCTCTCGGGCATAAGTCGCAATGCCCAGCAGACCCCGTCATCCGGGGAATGAAGCGATCGCTTTCCTTTGGAAGAATGTCGAAGAATTGCGATTATATAGGTGGCAGGCCCAGCATAGCACCAGAAAGAGTACAATCCTACAGATGTTGAATGTTATTCATTTCTCTGCGTGGCAAGATCGCCAACCGAGCTCCCAGACACAGCCCAAGAAATAGCTCCCTTGTTCAGATCGACCGCGATTCCTCCCTCCTCTACTACTCATTCCCGTTGTTTATAATGTCCATCAGGTGCTCCTTCCACCGCGACCTCGGACCCGACCAACGCTCTGGGGTGTCGACCACGCCGTAACACATGATGCCGCAAACCTTGGTGTCTTCGTCCTGAACGATGGCTGTCGGTATTGCCACGACGGTGGGGTCTGTTTGCACGTGCATCTCCTTCCCCTGCACCAGTGTCGTCCGCGTCTCCTCCGGAAGATCGTCGATGGCGCGCACTTCAGCATCAACGACAATCCACGCGAGTCCTTTGCGGCGGGTGGGCTCTGGGCGGGGTTTGACGGTGATCCAGAGCACCTTGTTCTCAGTGTTCGCCATGTCCTGGTCGCCCTCGAGCACCCAGAAGGTGATGTTGAAAAGCGTGTCGCGGTGACGGGCGACGAAGGCGTCGAGCGAGCGCGTGCGCTCCTCGCCGTGCTCCGCTGTGCACGCTCGTGCGATGCCGCACATCCGCTTGTGGAACGGCCATGCGGCACGCTGGCACTCCTTGCTCTGTATGTGGGGGCGAACGGGCGGGACGACTGAGCACACGCCGTCGGGGCAGAAGCAGACAAAGGCGCACGCACGCAGTATAACATGTACTTGCACCCCGTGCAGCGCGATAGCTTCACTCCAGCGCCCTTCCTCCTCTGACACTGCTGGCACACCTCGCCGCGAGGCATCGTCAAGCCGAAATCGGGGGCAGGCATGGTCGGTTAGTACGGGCGGGAAGTGCGCCGCTGGCTAGTATTGGTGACGTAACGCTTATGGTTTGGTTCGTATATGATCACGCTCGTTGGGAGCGGGGGCTTCCAGACAGTCGCAGCTTGCAGATCGGGGCTAGTTTTCTTCGACAAAGTGGAGCGCAAGGTGCCGAAACAGTGAGGGTAGGGACGGCAAGATCTTGAGACTCGAAGTTCCTCGATCTTGCGAGCCTTGCGCTGTTTGTCCTGTCTTTGGGGCTCAAATTCTAGTATTCCAGGCTGCACGCTGCGACAAACCAGAAATGTAGAATAAAGTCCGGCAGATCGTGCGAGTAGGAGCCCGGAGGTGAGAGATACGTGGAGGGTGTCGGTCGCCCTTGTGGCGTCATTTGATGCGACTTGCACGTGACTTTCGTCGGCTATTCCCCGACGGTATCCAGAGACTGAAACTTTTTCCTCAGACCTTTGTTGTCTTCCGCCACCTCCTCCCGTGCCATATGCATAAGCCGTTTGCCTTTCCTCCGGCTGTGCGATCCTGTATTTTTCTCTATGGGTCAGGTGGGTGCCTACGAGCGCCGCTCAATCATCTTGAGTCAAAGCGCCTTCATCAAATATCTGCGCGTTTCGACCGACGCGACAAGTCAAAAAACTACGAGGTCCCTTGGTAAGTTCTGAAACCGAAAGAGCACACAGGAGCACTCGTCGCATTTTGGGGACTTTGATATGGCTTTGATAGAACGCGTGCGAAACGAGTGGGTATATGCGCTCTATTCGACCAAGGCATCCCAATAGTGTACCGTGAGTAACTCCAACGCATATATACACGAGAATTAATGCTAAGGTGCTCCAGGATTCAAAGGATATAAGAAACATGCTGTCGTACAGGTTGCCGCACACAGGCGTGCCTTAGTCTTAATTAACACGCGTATCCGCGGCTCTGCACGGTTCTTATGGCGACTCCACCTCACAAAGGCAAGCGATGCAAGTTGGAGGCGCATAGTTTAACCGCCACAACGCCTATGCTGATGGCTTGGCAAGCTTATTTTTTCCGCATACACCGGAAATCGACCTGCTTTATTGTCAGTGCGTCGCCACCTCTTTTGGGCGTCGGTCTCATCTGAACGCACTCCAAGTTGTCGATCGGGCTGGGCCACAACAACGCCAGCAGTGCTGTCGCCATGGTGAGCACGCTGCGCTGTCATGGTCACATACTCCGGTCTCTAACGTCCTTGTCTCTTGTCGCTACAAGCCCCCAGCAGACGATGGGTGACATCAACGCTGTTTTTGTTCTCCGGGCGGCATTCATTATACTCCGTTCCCACGTCACGCAATAACCGCGGAGGAAGGGCGGACACCACGGTCACGTTGGCAGACGCGCCCCGGCGGAAGCGCTGTCCGAGAAAGGCGTTTCCGTGATGCGCGCCCACGGCCACAAACACCTCGTGTTAGCGGCGTGTTCAAGTCCAACATTCCTTGCCCGAAGCGGCCGCTCGGTTCTCCTCGTACCTTCACCACTTTCATTCTGCTTTCTGGGAGTTTTCACTTTCGCGGTAGCAGCTTGGGGCGTTGGAGGTGACCGAGAGGTGTTTGTTGGTTTCTTTTCGGAGAAAGTAATACGGTGCGCGCAATATTGCCTCGCCTCGTTGCGCTTGCGCATTGATGGTTTCCCCCCTCAGCATTTCGCAGGAAACAATTGGAAAGTAATTTGACACGCAATTCTTCACACGCAACTTCACGACAAGCTTAGCGTTTGCAAGCACGCACACGCATAGAAGACCATTAACGCAAGCGAAGGACACTCGACCCTTTGAAGATCAATTCGAACACGACTCGCGCCGTGCACTAGCCAGAAATAGTCTCGATCCCGACTTCTGCTTTATTACGACTTTTTACGCTTTGAAGACCCAAGACTTTATCACGACTCTACAAGTTCTTCACGACTCACGCTTTGTTTCCATTCACGATGCCACGCAACGCACTCCATTCACGGAACGGTCAGCCCGGCGCTGTCCCCTCAGCCTCTTCTACCACGCCACCGCCGCAAGCCGTTCCAACAATCCGCTTCACCTCAGCCACGCCCTCCTCGTACGACCCGTCCGAGTCCCAGCTCGAGCTCAACATGGACGCGTACCCACTCCCCGTCGATCGCATCGTCCCCTTCACCGCCGCCCCGCTCGCGCCGCGCGTCGACCCCGATGCCACGCCACGCAAGAAGCTCGTACCGAAAAAGTCCCGACTCGCGCTGCTCGCGGCGGGCACAAAGAGCCTCGGGAAGGACAAGACCAAGACCAAGAGCCGCGCGGACGACCTGTCCGACGTCGTGCGCCGGGTCGGCGCCTCTGACACGGGCCGCACGGGCGGCTTCGAGATCTACGTCGACCACTGCGAGGACGCCGAAGACGCCTCGATCCTCATGGTCAAGAAGAAGAAGTCCCGCGCCGCGCTCGACGATGTGCACTGGGGCTCCGGTGCGCTCGGGGAGGTGACCAACGTCGGCGCGTACGCCGGCGCCAGCAATGCGACCGCCCGCGAGCCGCGGACGGCGCCCAACACACTCAAGGTCCCCGCCAAGGGCGACGAGAACCAGAACCAGAACGGAAAATGGTGGAATATGAGTATCAGGGGACGCAAAGAGAAGGAAAAGGAGAAGGCCCCCGTTCGCTCCAAGAGTACGTTGATGTCTTGCGCCTTGATGTGTGGTGCACTGACTTGTTGCTGTCTCATCCAGCACCCGAGCCATTCGGCAAACCAGTAGAAGACTCTGAACGCAGGGCCCGCTTCAATTCACTTGATTCGACCAGGCTACTGTCATTCGTTGTAGGTTTGCACACTCCTCTGCTGTGAAGGCGAGGCTGATGGCTGTGCAGCAACCGAAAGGATCAGACCAGCCTCCGCCAGTCCCACCCAAAGATTTCTCAGCCGCGCAGGAGCAAACTCCGCGCCAGCGCAGCGGAACGCTGTCCTCGCTGTCGGCGTTGCTCAACGTGCCCAGCTACGAGAGCGGCGCAGACGGCCTGCTCGCACCGCCAACGCCCGTCGAGGCCCCGGCGCAGAACCAAGGATCCATCGCATTGCGCGCGATGCGGAGCATGGCTCGCATGAAGAGCTTCGTAAACATCGGCTCCGACAAGACCGAAAAGGAAGCCAACAATACACGCATTGGCGCGACCACCACGGCCACCTCAGTTAGGATGAAGGGGAAGCTGAAGAAGACGAAGGAGAAGAAGAAAGAGGAGAAGAGGAGCGAGCGCATCTCGACGAGCAGCTTCGAAGCCGGCACCCTAAGCTCCTTGAGCGTCCCCGTCCCGCCCCTGCCGGACACGATCAACAGGAAGCCAAGCAAGCTTGCGCTCGGTGGGCTCATCCCGAACCCCCTGCGTCCGAGCACCGTGCGCTCCACGAGCAGCCGCGTCTCGTCGGCGTCTTCCGAGTCGAGAGCCTGTTCGCCCATCTCGCCTGGCGCACCTCCGACGCACGGACTGTACGCCCTCAGCAACCCCCGCCTCTCGGCGCTCGACTCGTCCACGCACCTCAGCCTGGACCCGAACGGCCGCCCGACGTCCGCGTACTCGATGTCCAGCGGCGGCTCGTCGTCGCTGCGCCCGCCGTCGACCGCGTCACGCATGTCGCGCTCGTCGGGCATGTCCGCGTCCGCGTTCTCGATGCGCTCGCAGCGCAGCTCGTCGAGCTCGAACGCGTCCGTGCGCTGGGACGAGGACTGCCTCCAGGGCACCCGCGAGGCGCAACGCCGCGAGCGCGCACAGCGCAGGAGCCAGCCCGGCGCACAGGAGAGCAAGCAAAGCGCGGACCCGCGCCGCAGGACGCCCGTCATTGAGATCTTCCCGGAGATCCGGTCGACGCCGACGATGAAGAGGAGTTCGCTCGAGGAGCACGCTGCCCGTGGGAACGGAGAACAGCCGCCAGTCGTCACCCTTGAGGAGGCAACGACGGATTATCAGAGCGAGGGCGAGACTTCTGGCTCTGCGACGCCTGTGAAGCGAGCGAGGCCACGCCCGTGGTCTGAGCAGCTGCTCGAGAAAGTGCGACCCAAGGCCATCTCAGGCGACGCGGAAGGTAAGACTACACTCGCGTACTGCCGTCTCTGGTCCGAATGCTGACATGTATGAATTGCGCTAGGTGTCATATCGATCTTGGATGCTGCGACCAACGACCTCGCTTCGTTGATCAACCGTCTCGATCTGGAGGCTACGCCATCCAGTGTGCAGGGCTCGCCGCTCAGGCCTCTGCAGGGCTCACCGTCGCTCGCGTCCCTCGGCAAAGCCGGCGAGGGCTCCCCGCTCAAGCCCAAGAGGTGTACCTTCGACAAAACGCGCGACGCGCCCACGCTTTCTGAACGTGAGAGCCTCGAGTCGATCAGCTCCCTGCGCCCGTACGGCCAGGTTGGTCGCACGCACTCGGATCCCGCGGTGCCTCCGACGAGGCAGCAGGCGATGGACACGCTCGACGTCCGCCGCATGCTCATCGGCCAGCGGATCGCATCGTGGAACGAACTCGAGAGCCAACTGTCGTCCAAGAGGCCTGCGGCGCAGGCGCAGGCGACGGCGAAGCCCTTTCGTCCGACGCACAGGCGCATGGTGACGCCAGGTCCCGAAGACATGGACATCGCCACGATGTTTCAGCCCCTCAAGCCCTCTGCCAAACAGCGCGAGGCGTCTGTCGAATCCCTTCCCTCGACGGCTTCGACCCCAGCCCAGGGCTCTCAGGATCCAGCGAACCCGTCCTCGCAGACGTTTGGCTCCGACGCTCCGACGTCCAAGGTGGGAAAGAGCCCGTCCGTGGATCTCGGTTACGACGACGCGGCCCCTCCGTCTCCCAGTCCTACCACGAGGCGTCGCCCCAAGCATTCCAAGAGGTCGTCAGTTCTTTCTGTCATGTGCGACACCGGCGCGACCCTTCCGCGAGAGAGCCTGATCAGCCTGGGTTTGACAGGCACGCTAGGTGGACCGGAGCCCGAAGTGGACCCCGAGGATCCTGACTCTGACATCCCGGATGAGCTGCAGGCGATCATGTCTGGCCAAAGCGACGACGACGACACCACAGAGCTGCTCGGCAAGATGCTCGCCTGCAAGCGCCACGACAGAGCCCCATCGCCCGGCCTGCCCCCGTCGGCTGCGCTGCCGTCCCTTCAGAACGAGACCAAGTCAGAACAAGAGCAAAAGCCCGTTTTTCGTGCGTCTCTCGTCAGCGTGGATTCCAACCAGACCGACCTCGACGAGAGTGACGTCTCTGCCTCTGAGGACGACACCAAAAAGTCCTTTGACTTCACTGGGGAGCTTCGGCTGTTAAACTCGTCGGGCGGCTCTGATCGTCGGAGCTTCGTCGAACAGCTTGAGAGTGCGTTCCGCACGCCAGGAGACATCTCTCTCGGGCTCCAGCTTGGCGCCAACCTCTTCCTCAAGGATGTGCCTCCGACTCCAGCGCTTCAGCCTGAGCATCGCAGGACCCCCGACAAGGACATGGTACCACAGAGTGTCACAGAAGCTGACGTGTCGTCGTTCCGTCTCAGCCTTCTCTCTGACGGACAGTCCTGCCGCGACTCGGCGACGTCAGATACTCTCGAACGCCTCCTAGCAGAATGCGAGGAAGACATTTGCAGGCCGTATAGCATGCTGAGGAAGAGCCAGAGCACAATGCGTTCTAAAGCGTCAGACGGCAGGCTGAACACGAGCTTCAAGTTCGGCGGCAAGCCGTCGATCCCCGACTCAGTGGAGGAGAGCGCGGAGCTCAAGCCGCTTACTCTGTCAGATATTATCCCACCAGCCTCGCATGCGCGCTCGCCGTCTCAGTCGTCTTTGATGGAAGGTGACAGCTCTGTGCTGAAGTCGATTCTGGGCAATGCATACGAGGGTGACACGTCGGTCGTCAATTCGATCGTCGCTCAAGCGCAAGCCGCTGCCCCAGCTGTACCCCGTCCTCGCCTTGACTCCGATTCGAGCTCGAAGCGGCGGGCAAGGGAATCTCTCGACTTATCGAACATGTCACGCTCCAGAACTAACTCCGAGCTCAGCTTCAAGGGCTTGGAGAGCTTCGAGGAGGTTCGCAGAGGCTTCGAGTTCCACCCCAATAGTCGACCGGCGTTCTACCCCCCGCCTGGCGCTCCCAAGTCCTGGCAGAGCCGGCACGAGTCTATGTACAGCATCGCCTCTATGTCATCGCTCGGTACAATCCTCGACTCTGGGATCTCCGATCCCTTCGGGTATGCTTCGAGCCGCCCCGTGTCTACTGCAGACGAACTATCATTCGCCATGTCCTCCACGATCGACGATACCTTCTCATTCGTTAGGAAAGGTTCATATCGCAAGCGCGTCGATAGCGACGCATCAAGCTTCTGTTTGCGTCCAGGCGCTGCTCGTGGTCAACGCCGCAACGAGTCGAACATTCCACCCATCAGCATATACAACCGTAGTTTCGGTGTACATCGCAGGATAGACTCCAACTCCAGCATGAGCCCTTCCAACGAATCAATGGAGAGCGATTTCTCCTTGGGCAGCCTTGCCAGGCCCGGTCTTGGCGACAAGATGTTCGACAGGATGGAGTACGGGATGCCACTCGCCGCGATCTCAGCTTCACCCACCGGCAGCTTTTTCAGCGAGCAGGACAGCACCAGCAGGAGATACTCGGACATCAGCGAACGGGGCGAGCAGCAGGGTGTATCCTACGACTCGGTCTTTGATACTGAACGGAGGGCGTCAGTCACCGACTCCATCTTTGAGAAGACTGGCATGCCGACTTCGCACGATGTTTCCGACGACGTGTTCGAGTTCGATTTGTCGCGCCCGACGGACTCCCCTCGCCTGAATCAGTTCCGTCCCATCTCGATGATGAGTGTCGCTAGCACCACCCACTCGATTCCCCGAAGTGAAGATACAATGATCAGTGTAAGCTGTTCCCTTTGAACGCATTGCGGATAGTGCTAATGGATTTTGCAGATGATTGGTGGAGGTCATGTTCGTCGTCGCTCGATTGATTCACGCATCGACGACTCTCCATGCATCGACCTAGAGCGCAAGGAGAAGAAGAAACATACCGCTCTCCAGCATATTGCTCGCGTCCTCGAGTTCGACCAGAAGCCAGACGAGCTTCCCTCGGACTTCGTCGACAGGCTCCCCAAGATATCTCTAGATAAGGCTCATGCTACCAAGCCCTCTATCGCATCAACATCGTCGTTCCAGCTTGGCGACGAGCCCATCATCAAGGCTGGTAAAGGTTTACTGCAGCGCCAGAGTCTGGAGAAAGACGCTCTCATCGCGCACGAAGAAAAGATCGCCGCGTCCTGTGAGTACATCAACATACTCTCGCTTTTGCTACGTTCTCATGGACTGCGATAAGTGGCAGCGACGGCAGTGTTCTCGCTTCCTGTTCCGGTCAGTCGGTCTCGCTCGAGCACTGTAACAAGTTCTGGCGGGGAAACGCCCCCTCTGTCGCCTTCAGACGGCTGTTCGGTCTCCAGTGGCTCCCAGTCAAGCATCGATATCGCTCATCTCGATAATTTACTCACGGCTGCGACACTGCCCGCCAGCGGCATCGCCCGAGCGCGCTCTGCCCGCATGCGGGAGCGGGGCACTGGTCACCGTCGACGCTTGTCTTCGGCACGTATTTCTCGGTCTTCTGTCTACGAGACGATACAGGAAGAGGAATACTCGTACTCTCCGTCACCTGCCAAACCCTCTACCAACACCACGGTTGACCACAATGTGACCACGCCCAAAGACGGATCTCTGTCTCGGGCGGGCTCTATTTACATTGTTGCCCCAGATACAGAGTCTGTCGGCGAGTGGGACGATGAACAGGGTATTGTAGGTGTGCGGAAGTACTACGCGCTTCGACAGGAGGCCGATGTGGCTGTGACGGAGAGCAAGAAAGTTTGGCCTGATACATCGTTCTCGACTTTCGCTATGCAAAGTGAGTGCTCGCTTTACAGAAAGCTTATTGACACTGACACTTGCGTGCTGCAGCGTTTGAGCTGCCCACTACCCGGTCTGCTATGCAAGCAATGCTCGAACAATCACAGAAGAGCTATGGTCCTCTGTCCTCTGAGCTCCGTGCTCACCGAATCCGGTCCCGCACTTCTTCTCGCACATCGCCGTATCCTGTCCGTTCGCGCCGCGCTTCGGTAGAGAAACAGCCTCAAGCCCTGCCCGAGAGCAGACCGTTCGCGTCTCCGCGGCACTCCATGAACATGCCCCTTGTCGAAATCTCGATCAACCCGAATACCAAAAACGCGAAAGTGTTCTCTCCGCAGCCAGCCCGTGATGTTCAACCATTCTCGAAGTCCGCTGTCGACCTAGAGTCGTCCAAGCACGCTGTCGCGAGGAGCCCCAGCGCCACCCGGCGCACTCGCGTCGCGTCGAGTGCCCGCAGAGCAGCGCTGGGTTGGTCAAAGCGAAATAACGCAAAGTCGAACACCGCGACCATCAAAGGTAGCGCCGGTACCGGCAAGGGGCCCACTAGCAGTGCGAGTGTGAAGGAGAATTTCGGTACCATCAGGCCGAGCACAAACAGTGCACTTGCGAAGGAGAATGCCGGCACTATCCTCAGGTACGTGAAGTGCCCGCTTCATTATCGGTACCGGTATCTAACGTATACTACAGCCACAATGAATCGTTGAAAATATCGCGCCCGCGTCCACGAGGCAGACCGGCCCCAGCTCGTGCTGCCTTGAGTCGTGCTCCTCTGGCCGCCTCCCAGTCATATGTGTAGACAAAACACAAATGCGAAGAAATGTACAACTGCCTCCTCCGTCGTAGCGCCGTCTTTCCCCGCCAAGCGCTTGATCCAAGCCCACGACGACCGCGTCGGTGGTGGCACCCCCTATGCCATTCTGTCCTATGCTCTCATTTTCTTGTTTCTCTCAGTGTATCAACCAATCTTCGTCTCAAGTCGCTTCTACGCACCAGCCCTTCGTGCGCTGTTGCTGTCTCCGTCGCCCTGATGCAGTATACTTGCGGCTGTGGCCTCGAGGTCGAAACCGAATGTGTTTCATCTTCGGACTCTGTCTGCTCGTCTGTCTGCATCTGTTTGTAACAAACTGTAACCATGAGAGTGTGTACTACCCATTCCTCATATTCGAGATTTCGACTATGTATGCTCTTCCAGCTTGGACTCTCCGCGAGACTCGATGCCTCGCCGTCTTTGTGCGCTGCTGTCTGTTGTATAGTTTGTTGAGCAAATGTATATAATCTGTTTTTGACCCGCCCTCGGTCGCTGTGGGCTCTCAGAAGGAATTATCAGAGAACAGGTGACGAGCTAGGTTAGGACTCCGTTTGCTGATGTGAACAGATGCTAGCATCTTTCGCGTACATTGGCCAGCTCAAGGCTCCGCCCCAGGTACTCTATAAATTCAGCATCGACACCAGTGGGCGCCACGTACGTTTGTACTCGGCACGGGCTTCCTCCGAGCCGCTGCGTAACCTAGCCTGAAGGAGCATGCCGACTCCTGCCCGGGGTTACGACGCTTACCTAAGCCAGGAGTGCCGGACTGTGTCCGAACATCTAACCGGCTTCACGCACTAATCGTTACGACATCGCAGGACTGGCCGCAGTGGAGAAGACTGAATACCTACCACCTGTGCGCTCACATCGAGCGCATGCTGAAGAACATTACCATGCGTCCCACTGATTTCGGCACATAGAAACTGATCTGATATGCGCCAACCCAATAAGCATCTTGTAAAGCTTTCTCCTGGGAAATGGATGTTATTAACAGCATCTACGAGAAGCCTAGTAGCTCACACCGCTCGCTGGCCGTCGGGATTCACGCCCCAGACGGCAAGATGTACGGGTGGGCATGATCTGCCACTTGGATGCTCCATGTCTATCGGCGGATTTATCAGAGGAGAAGAAGAATAAGACAATGTAAAAGATATCATGGATGACCTCTGACATAGCGACCTGGCCGAATGTACCGGCCATGGAATAGCGGACATATAGATTGACTGCCCTCGCGCATGGAGTGAGTGATAAGCCAAGCCCGGCCGCGCTCTCTGAGGCGTCGGCCTTTCGAACCCCTTTCGAGCTTGGAGAGTCATGTGGCTACAGTACGCGGCTGAACGCCGCCTGAGAAGTTCGAAACTGTCTCGCATACCTGCCTCATCCTCCAGCGCCGGGCCCAGACCTCGCGAGTGCGTGACCCATTCAATATCGAGGGTATCATGTCCCGTAGCCCCAGGTTAGTTGCCATTCTCGCATTGGTTTACAGATTCTCCGCTGGAGTATGGCCAGAATTTGGCCACAGTGTAGCTACAAGTCTGTCAAAGATTTTGGCCGCTTATCCCTTTGCGTCGTCTGCAACAGAAACCGGTATGTGTGGTACTCAAATCACAAATTACATAGATCCACTCCTTCATCGGTACATGAGAGTGCCTATTCGAGTGCTTATTTATGAGTACTAACTACTCCTACGACTTAGCGATCGTTCCTATCATTATCGATCCACCATCCGCGCGTGTCTGCAGCCAGCAGGTGCACAAGGAGAAGAGCGAGCATGCCATTCATTGCGAGGCCTGGAGTGGCGCGCAGGGGAATTCCATCGGTAGCTTGGAGCGAGTTGTGACCGAGAGCATCCTGGACACGCCTGATGAGGACGACTTCTTCGTCGGTCACGATGTAGCCGTACTTCGCGCCGACTTCAGGAACATCAACCTTCTCACCATTTTCCACAATCTCTCTTTCCTTGGGAGTTCTATGCCCCACATCAACCATGTAGTGCCTGACCTGTGCGATGGCATTCCGGTACTCGTTCCCGAGGGACTTATAGCCGGCGTCGTGGTGGGTGAGGTAATTGCGCCACAAGCCTTGAAACTTGAAGCCGCACTTAATGTCGCCTGGGCAACGGTTTACCGATGCGGGGTCGCCTTGCTTTTCCAGCTCCTTAGCGCAACGGTCGGCCTCGAACTTTTTTCCAGCGGCCTTCCGTTTCGTCGAGGGGCGGCAATAGCCGTTGGCCCCGACGTCAGTGCAGAGCGGTATGTGTCTCGACGGGAGGTGACCAGCCCTGGCCATCTCTCGCAAAGCACGGTCGTGGTCAAGCAGAATGCTGGTGTCCAGCCGAGCTGATAGAGTGGCTTCGTGCCCATATGGGAGACGGTACGCGGTAGGGTGGTATTCGATCAGGGGGTGTAAGTCCTTTCGATCCGCAGGGGGGTGGAAAGGCTGCTGGAATACAGGTAGATATTTATCGAGCTCCTCTGCAGGGTCCCATCGGGCGATTGAGTGGATCTTGTAGGAGGGGTAGGACTCGTTTACGGTATTACCGTATCCTCTCTTACGCAGTTGCTACCGAGAAATTGTCAGCCGTTGCACACGAAAGAGATATAAGGTCTACACGGACTTACATCCGGTGTGAACCCATCCGAGCCTAGCGGCGTCGGCTTCTCTGTCTTCATTTCTGGGGGCGTGTACCCCACGGCCCAGTCGTAGTATGAAACGGTCATGGCGTCGACGGGACTTGGAGGCCTCTGGAGAGAGATGGATCACTAATAGCTTGATTCAAGTACGCCTACACACGAGCATCATAATCGATGGCCCAGATGGGAAATCGTTCTCTATGGGAATGCATAGCGGTAAGGTCTGAAGATCTGACTCCGACCTTGTACTCCAGATCGAAGTCGGACAAGGTCAAAACGAACTCAATTTTGCGGCAATGGGAAAACCCGCTCTGAGAGCCTTGGAACGCCATTTCGCACTGCTGAAACGCTGGAGGAACCGAGTCATGAAGTTCTCCATTGTATTCCTCGTATCTTTAACCAGATGGCCTGAAAATAAGAAACCGTTCACTTATCCTCTTATCTTTCACCCTCCCTTTGTGTCCGCCCACCTGGTCTATATAACCCCTGCCATTCGACTGACGCCCTTCGCTTTGCCTCCGCTTCATTTGCCCCTTGGTTTTGTCATCGACGTCGCCGTCCGCGGTCTCCATGCTCACAAATTTGGTACATGGGGTGGTCGTACAAAATGCATCAGCTGTCAATCGCTTTTTCACCCCCTAACACCCCCTGCATTCCCTCTCGCCATGTCCGCCGGTTCTTGCGCTGTCGTCGCCGCCACCCTTGGTCTTGCTGGTGGCCGCCGTGCCCAGGGTGGTCAATCTACCACTTACTACTGCTATTACAACACCGTCTTACAGCCTAATGGTGATTCTGAAGCTGGCGTCCCTGCTGAACTTCGTGTATACAGCCCCAAAGACAGCGTCGTGCTTCCAGATAACAGCGTCGTTTTTGCCTACGCCCGTGTGTATATCCCTGCGCAAGGTTCTCATCATGTTCATCTCTACTTCTGCTTGATCTTACATGGATTATAATAGGTCCTGCTCTACTCGACGCAATTCAAATTTATCCCTTTCCGGGCGACCCTTCCGATGACGACTATGACAACAATCTTCCCACTATCCCACCTTTCCTCTTTGCAACCGGGATCATCCGCTCCGTGCGTGATGTGACCACCTTGGACAAGAACAAGTACGTCTTGCTCGAGGTCTCGGACCGAGTACGGGATGGGAAGAAGGGTTTCACCTTCGAGTACGCTGTCTCTCCCTCTTTCTGTGCGCAACTCAAATTGCTTCACTTCAGGGCGAAGTTCACAGGTGCCACTCCTCGCTGGAACCGTGTGCCACTTCCCAGCTTGCAGTCAAATGCGCAAATCATTGGTATCCTGTGCAACGAGCGCCGTACTGATGGCACGGTAACCATTGAGGCGGAGTCTCTCACTTTCAACGCACTACCTCTCGCCACCTCTGCCGATGGTGCTGGCCCCCCGCCTTCAACACCTCCAGCTAAGAAGAGGAAGTACAACGCGTACCTGTCATCTGGGTAAGTCATTTGCATGTGTGCGTTGCCATGCCCTCTGAAATAATTGCAGTTCGTCACCAATGTCTCCTGCTGAAAGTGCTTCTTCACTCGCAGGCCCATCTGGTTCACCTCAGTCAGGTGGGCGCGAACATGTTCGTGCCAGCGGTGAAGAGATGCCCAGCAGGCAACCAGAGGATCCAGAGACATCTGGCAGTAGTTCACTCACTGTTCTTATCACTGCTTCTGCTGAAGACGTTGGGGCTCCCACCGCAAAAGCTGCTGGCAAAAGAAAGGCCAAGCAATAAACTTTCAGTCCCACTTTCCCTTCTTCTTCTATTATGTCTGTTTGTCCTGACGTCTCGCAATGGTGTTGGTATATATGAATATGTGATAATTATTTTGCTTGGACGTGGCACTCCATCTGTGAAGCCTACGAGCGTGCAGTTCGCAAGTCCATGCACAAACCTGTCCCTTTGCTCAGGCCTCTCTACTCTCTCTCACGTGTGTTTCTCCTCTCTCCTTAGCTCCTTTGGGCCCGCAGCTTGACTATGTATTTCAAACCTGTTCCTGACATGAGTAATAATTTCATACCTCTAACTGTCATCCTGACTCCTTTCGCAGTTTCATATGTCGATCAATATAATGCGCTGTGGAAGCAAACCGCTCCTCTGTCATATATCGTACGAAAGCAAACGTCTCCGCGGGAATCTCTGCGCACAGCCCTGATATCTCCGATGACCTGCACGGTCCTGCAACAACCAAGCCGTAGACGGTACCGAACATCTGCACAGCTAAAACCACTGCTGCGCCATGCATTGTGCGGAAGCAAATGTCTCTGCGGAAATCTTTGCGCACAGTCCTAATATCTCTGCCGATGTGCAGAAACCAAACCATGGAGACAACCAATCATCCGCCCTGCTCTCCTTTCGCCTCGGTCTGCGCGGCTGAGGATCTTACTGCTTGCATCCCGTGGGCATCTATGCCCGACGCCACACCTGACACTTCTGACACCCTGACAGAGCTCACATCAAGGTCCTACAGCGCTGTGCGCACGAGACATGTATGTGTAAATGCCCGACTCATTTGTATGGCTTGCGCTCACCTGTAAACACTGCGCACTTTACAGGCATCCTTTGCGACGACTTGCAAGGAACCTTTTGCTGCCCTTTGGCAGTGCCTCCTTCTCGTTCAAATGTACGTACACTCTGTGCAGCTTTTTTCCGGGCAGTGCACTAACCAGCCTTTTTTACAGGATAGCAAATGGCTGACCACGCAGCGGCACCATCTACAACTTGGACTATAGCACCGTTGTCACGTATTCAGCTGTCTTGGGGGGGTCGTGGCCAACGAGCTCACCGTTGCCAACATTGTAACATACCTCTCCTCACAGGCGAGAATGCAGGCTTTTGCTGTGGTCCTAATGGGGCCTACTTGAACCGAGTTCGCCCTCTTCCTCCCCTTCCACATGAATTCCAAACTTTCTTGAACGATCCACAACTCTCGGAGCACAGCCGGATTCTCAACCTCGTCTTCTCCTTTGCATCTATGGAAACTACCGCTCTGTTTCCTGACACCGGTGGTGATTACGGTTTTGTTGCTATTCAAGGCAAGGTCTACCATCGTGTTCGACCCTCCCACGCAAACTCTGCAGTCCGATGGATTTTGTACGATGGGTTTTTGGCTGCCGAAGCTCCTCACAATGACGATCATGCTCGCCGATTGCCTCCTCCATGGATACGAGCTATGCAGCTTGCGCTGCTGCGGTGCAATCCATTTGCATTGTATCTTCGTGTTCTCAGCCAAATTCCACCCGACCTGTGTCCGAACGCACGCATCATTATCGAAGACACTGGCGTGGCTCCTGAAATTGCTGCTTTTATATCGTACGATAACACTGCTTGGGCTGAAGTGCGTTCTCGCCGTCTCGTCATCACGCGCACTGACAACTCCAACCACGCCATACCAACTGTGAGCCGTCTATGGGAGCCACTCGCTTACCCTCTGTTCTTCCCTTCTGGTACACTAGGATGGGGAACTGTAGGTGACAGAGATCAGCTCCACCATGGTGCACCTCTCCCAGCAGGTGGAGCTCCTCCCATCCACGAAAGCACAACGCAAATCTGGTACTATCGTGCTCTGCTCCTCCGTGAAGAGCGCTTCTCATTATTCGGCCGGCTAACAAATGAATATCTCGTCGATATGTTCACTCGTAACCTCGAGTGTCGTCTGAACTACATTCGAGACAACCAGCACAGCGTCATAGCTGAAGACGCAGAGCTCATGGGTGTGGACGCTATTGAGCCGACTCAAAATATTTACCTTCCCTCATCCTTCCTTGGCTCTAACCGCTGGGCATCCGAGCAGATTGCAGATTCACTCGCCATTGCTGCTCAATACGGCACCCCAACGTTTTTCATCACAATGACTTGCAACCCACACTGGCCTGAAATCCAGTCCCAGCTTCGACCGGGTCAGACTTTCACTCATATTCCTCTCGTGGTCGTTCGTGTCTTCAAACAGAAGCTGAAGCGCTTCGAATAGTGGTTGAGGGTCCGGTCCAGTCCGGTCTTTTTCAGAAATTGTGTCGGACCAGGACTCTGACCGGTCAAGGACCAGCACAAGTTTGTGCAGGACCGGACTAAGACCAGGTCCTGGTCCTGTGCAGTCCTCCTTGCAGTCCAAGACCAGCCATGACCGGTCTAGGACTGAATTCAGTCTAAGACCAGTTCAGACCAGTTCAGACCAGTCCTCCCCTGGTAAATATCACACAAATCAACCAATTTCAACTTAGAGTTGCATGTACAAGTGGCACCCTCAAGCTAGCTAGCGTGCATGGAAATGTTATGGATTTCAAGCCAGCAAATGGTCGGGGTACCATGCTTGGCTTCTCTGGAGTGTGAGGTGGCATCAGAGCCTATGAGCTGGGGTAGCCTGGTGATGTGCGAGTATGGTGGAGTGCTATGAGGCCTCCAGATAGCCTAATGCCACTCCGAGGGTCGTCCACGCCG